GGCAGACTGCTCCTGATTGGTAGGTGGCAGTTTTAATAAGCAAAGGAAATTATGAGGCTTTTACTGAGCAGAACAAGACCAGTAGATCTCTGAACCCACCCACCAAATCTTAAAAGATTATATAGAGGTTTTAACAGGATTCAGTCACATATTCAGTCCAGATGGCCTCAACAGCACCATACTCTCTCAAAGTAGCATCCTTAAAAATGGTTCCCACTGGGTGAACATACATTCCCAGGACAGGGGAGGTGGGGAGGGGCCTGCAATTGCCTGGGTCCAGCTCAAGGGTCAACTGGCAGTCACATCCTGTCAATGACCTCCTCCAACACCAACACTGACCCACAGCACTGCTGGACATCCACTTCTGGGCATGCCTTCTGCACGCTCACTTGGCAAGCTTTCCTAGAATCACACATCTCTGATTTGTCTAGCTGTCATTTGCATGACTCACCATTGTTCATTCTTCACCTATTTGGCATCTTAAGAGCATAACTGACTCTGATGGCCTCACTGAACCCCAGAAGCCCACTGTTGGTTGGTGCTGTTGAGTGGGACCTAGCCAAGACCCTAATGGCTGGCACAATGGTATCAGGGTTGTGTATGTTGTAGCCTGCTTTTCCCTTTTAAATCAGGACTTAAAGAATATTGGATTTCATGCCCAGATGCAAATTCACTTTAGGAAAAAAAAAATACTAAATACTCAAGTTTGCTTCTCCATACCTTTGTGACAAGTGGAGAAATTTCAATGTAAGGTTAGATGAACCTTGACTTACTGTAATTAGATCTCATTAAAGAGACAATAAGGAAAGCAAATGACAAAGCAAGAGCTGAGACCTGGGCAATGGTAACAAACATAGGACTTAAAACTTCCTTCCAGAACCTGGAACCTGGAAATTGTGAAAAGGAGTTGAATAAGCAGGTCAGAGACCTCAGCTCCTTGCCACCAATGAAGCTAGAGCTGAGCAAACCTATGTATTAAGAAGTCTGTAAATGGGACTTTGATAAATACTGTTTCCAGCAGCTTCGCCCTCTTATGCATCCAATTATTCAGTGTCTCTGGGACTAATGGGACCCAGAAAGTAGGAGTCAACAAGTTCGCATTATAAAATTATAAATGCACTAAACGTGTGAATGTGAAAACAGATACAGCATTTAAGTCATGCCACAAAGCAAAACAAGTATATTAGCATTTTTTTGAAACTTGGGAGAGACTTATCCTGAAAAGTTTCTTTTACACACAGAACTTACATAACTGAAAACTAAGCATATAACACCCATTATTACTACTTTGAAATGTGAAAAACATTACTGATATTCTCTTTAGCCATGCATTATAATTATTGTTTTAAGTTTGGGAGTTGTAAGTACTGTTTGTAAAGATTTTTACATATTTATCCTCATCATCAGTTGCCCAGCCATACTTTTCCTGTAAAGTCTTAAATTACTCAGCAACAAATTATCCTACAAGAAGGTACGCTTCACTTACTTAATGGAGCATTAAGAACACAGAATCATACGGAATCCTGGTCTCTCTCTCACTTTTCAACCACCAGTCCAACTGTACCAATTTCACTGTGTTAAAATTGCCTCCATAACCAATAGTTTACCATCTGTATTCACACAGTCTATAGTTTGAGTACAGAGAAATCACACTTAGAAAATAACTCAGTGCCAGGGTGCATTAGGACCTTCAAGGGTCTGAGACATCTCTGTAAATACTAAAATAAAAATTATAATTTACAACTGCATTGTTACAAAGATGAAAAAATTAATATCATATATTCAAAAAATTTTACCTAAACATTTATTTTTTACCTTCTACTGTTAACAGAAATTCAGACATCCTGTGGATCCCTGAAAGTGCCATGGGCTGCACACACAGTGCTAATAGACAAGTCAGCCCTGCTCACCGCCCTGGAATAATGTAAGGTGTCTCCTCTAGAGCTTTAGGTTTATTTTTATTCAAAAAGTTACTGAATCAAGACATAAATACAAATCAGAAAACAGTGCAATTAGGACAACAGAATTATAGGACAACAGGTTACAGCAACATATAAAACATTTTTCGCTGGTTGAAAACAAAGCTGTAAGAACTGCTTTCACAAAGAAGTACTCCTTTCAAGAGTGAGGACAAAAAAAAAAATCAACTTAGGTTTACAATTGTATATACTGTCCTCTCAGCAGTTCTACTAAATGCAGTGGTGTGAAAAAACAACATAGGCAACACTTACACACATAACAGTTTCTGTTGTTGGAACATCTGTTAGACAAGTCTGATTCCATTTGATACTAACCATGATGGAATAAAATAATTGTATTGTATCGTGACCTATGGTTTTTGGCTGACAGCCCAATGCTTATTGATTTCTGACTTAAGAACTGGAAGCCTTTTGGTATACACCCATCTAAAGATATTCTTGTATTGCAAGCATATTAAGGCATGGGATGATTACAATAATACACCCCAAGAACTGAGAGATGATTGACAAAAGATAGACGCACATGTACTATAAGTTAATATTTTGTTTTAAATGATGTCTAGCTGCCCAAGCCTCACAAAATGAGTTGATGTCAAAATGGCAAGTAGCCACTTTCTGTTTTAAACTAATTTATTTGTGAAAGGACATAAAATGAAGTTTAAAGCTTAGCTTTCAAAGCATACTATGGGTTATGAATTCTATTTCTTAAATCTGGCTACAAACTAGGTTCATCTGGAGAAGTTAAAAAAAAAATACAGCATATTCATGTATACTGACCCCACACCAGGAGATAATTAAATTCATTTCTGTCGGCTCTCAGAGAATCTGTATTTTCATCATCTTTCCAGGTGATTATAATGCATAGTTCAAGATAAAACCTCTGTCTTCTATTTCTTCAGACATTCATAACCCAGTTCTCAGACAGTGACTTGCGTTTGTAAAGCAATCCCAAAAAAATGCTACAAGGGAAGGAGGAGGGGAGCAGAAGAGGAGGCAGAAGGGGAAAAGAATGGCAAGGACAACAAAGAAAGGGACACAGGGGCTTCAGCTCCGACCTTTCTCACAGGCAGAGCACCACGTTAACCTCAGCCCCAGCACCGGGGCTCCTTGATAAAGCAGTGAGGAACAGCCCTCCGCTTTGTTTCCTTTGTACTTTCACGAGCAGTGAGCCCTAGGTGGAGGAGGGGATGAAATCACATTTTCTGATGTATTATTGTACTGCCACAGACACATTCCTTCCCTCTGAATATTTGAGCGCACTGACGCTGAAGGATTCAGGACCTCGGACGTGACGGTGGTGGAGATGTTTACCTCCCTGCAGTACGATAGTGACACGCAGAAGCCGACCAGCGGGATGTCAGTGCAGGTGGAAAAACAGATGAACTGCCTACACGGAGATCACGGTCTTTGAAACTGGCGATCAGCTCCAAATTTAGAGGACCCAGTGGAATTAAGATAAAATTTTTATGTGTTGGAAAAAGTGAAAAAGCCTGAAATTCAAAAGCAAATCCAAATAATACTCAGGTTGTATAAATTATATGACTCTGAGTACAACTGGAAAAAATTATCTCTCTGTGCTAACTCAGTGCTTCTTCTAGGTCAGTCTTTGAAGATCTAAGAGCACACACAGACCACATCTCTTTCGAAAACCTTGTTATTCCTACATGTTCTCTGAAATCAAGCCTAAGATCTGACAGAAAGCAGTTTTGTATCTGAATCAGGCTTGTGAATTAGGGAAAAGAAACTGACAATAATCAAAAGGCAAAGCAAAAAAAGAAAAAAAGTCAGATGGGAAGGAAAAGGAATTAAAGTTCCTCAAAAAATTAAAGTAAAAATGATGAGCTGTCAAGGGGAAAGGAACTTTTCCTTTAATGCAGAGGGGGGAAAAAATCCAATCTTGAGTGATTCAGGGTACTAAGGTAGAAATTTTCCTCTATGGCCTCTTTCCTCTTGTTCTTGCCCATTTGTGTTAACAAAGAAAGAAAAACTGAATAGGATGTAGTTAAGGGCCAGAAAGAATCAAGACTATAAAAGTCAGCAGTCACAGAAACAAGCTCCTACACTTCGTCTTGATTTGTAGAAAGAAACTGGACAACTGAAGGCAGAAAAGAAAGTAGCTTCAAAATCAAGCAGTGCTTAATAACAAGCACTATTGAAAAAAAGAAGTTGTACCTAATTGCT